ATTATTTTTTTTTCTAAAGAGTATTTGAGTATTGGAGCCAAAATGATATTTAAATTTTGGCACCTAAATCATTTGTCTTATTATTTTACAAAACTAATTAAAATGGATAATCCAATAAATGAAACTATTTTATACCTATGTTATAAATAGTATTTTTGATTTCTCAAAAATTAAATAGCTAAATCGAAATCAAATTAATTCGGTTAAAATAAATTAATTAAAATTGTATTCTCGGATTTTATATAATAAAAATCTAAATTGTTTTATTATCTTTCCATATTAATTATTTTCATCAAATATATTTTTATAAATTAATTTTAGAATTTTATATAATAAAAATCTGATTTAATTAATTATTATAAGTCAATATTTTCGGCCACCCCAATTTAAATAATAAAAATCTGATTCTATTCTTCCAATTATTAATTTTCACAAAATAAATTTTATTGGATTATTAATTCTAGGCATTAAAATTATCTTACAAAATCCATAAATTAACATAGAGGGACCGAAATTATTGAGCAATATTGAGCTCAATATTTTTGGCCACTCATGAATTTTCTAAATGATTTTAATTTATTTTATTAAAAAAAAATCCTTTAAAATTCCTTATTTCTACTCTAAAATCTAAAAATTATTTGATCTTATTCTATACTTGCACTCCAAGCTCAAAACTTACTAAATAAAATTTCATGACCAAATAAAATCTAAATATTCTTCCATACTTTTAATTATTTCCTAAACCCTTAAAACCCTAATTTTCATCCTTTGAAATTACCATAAATCATACAACCCTAAATTGCTATAAACTCATTACCTAAACACCTATAAATACCCCTTCCAAACACCCCAAGACTCACACCAAAAACCGCAAGAAATCTTCTTCTCTCTCTCTTTCTCTCTCACGGTTTTCCTCCTCTTCTCCTCCCTCAAACTTTCGGCCACCACCATCACCAATGGCCCTCACCGGCGACCACCAGCCACCACTGCCGGCAGCCACAACCTCTCACGGCCGACCACCTTGCTTCCTCCCTTGCCTTGGTTTCCATCTTCGTCCTTTAATTTCTCCTTCTCCTAAACTTGTTTTACAATTTATAATTGAATTTCATAAATATTATTTCTTGAATAAATCATTTTATAAAAATAGAAAATTATTTTATAAAAACAAAAAAATTTATTTTATTAAAGTATAATAATAAATCATAATTAATTCATGCACATATAGGATAGATTGGTTAAGTTGTTGTGCTTATTTGATAGCCTTATATTAATTAAGGTTATAATAACGTGAAGGGTGTTCGTGATTAAGTGAAGTGAAGTGAAGTATTGTGTGAATCGCTCGTGTTACGATCAAGGTACGTTATGTGGTTTGATACCTTTAAAAGTCGACTATGAAATTATTTTTTTATACACCCCATATGAAATTATGACTTGTTATGCTTCTTCTTATGTTCCGTATGAAATTATATTTTATTATGTTCCGTATGAAATTATATTTTATTACGTTCCGTATGAAATTATATTATATTGTTCCGTATGAAATTATATTTTATGTTCCGTATGAAATTATGTTATTACGTTCCGTATGAAATTATGTTTTATGAAATTATGTTGTATGATGGATTGAAATTAATAATTTTGATTAAAACAAAAGAGACTTTGAATGGTGATTGAAATTATTAAAAAAAAAGATTGGATTAAAAACGATTTACAAGTTTATTATTATTCAAGTATAACGGATTTTAAAAGGTGCTGTTAAGCAAGTCAATCGATATGTTATGAATCCCACTTAGGGAATGGATTAGAGAAGGCTATGGACTTTGCATGACCTAGCCTTTTCTCAAGATTGACCTTTGTTCATAAAGTAAACCACTTGGGGGGTGTGCACACTTAGTGAGGAATTGATTTTGAAATATAATCGATTGAGTTTTAAACTTGTCTTGAAAGAATTGAATTGAGAAAGTACTTGCATAGGTATGATATTGGAAAAAATGTGTTGGAATTATTGGAATTAAATGTACGTGATTTAATTTAATGTTTTACTTATCTCACACATAATCTACTTAGCATAATTTTCTAATACGTGCTTTGGTTTTGGCTTTGCCCTGTTTACCATAATGGTAAGTAGGTGAACTTTTCAGGTGCAAGTTGATTGATGCATATGGGAGTCCACAGGAGTTTCACCTAGCTTAGGAAACGTTTGAGTTGTTTTATGTCATCACTTATGAACAGTTTTATTTGAAGTACTATTAATAATGAATAAAGAATTTTTGTTGCAAAAGTATTTTGAAATATAAACCTTGCGTTATTACGCGGTGGTAAGTCTATATCTACGGTATTTATACGTATCTTCTACGTATTCCGTAGAGGGAGATTTGGGGGTGTTACACGACTGCATGCAATGTCTATGACCGCCTGTATTTTTTCTGGGTTGGCGTCTATCCCCCCTTTGATCTATCAGAAATCCGAGGAACATCCCAGACTTAACTCCAAAAACACACTTCTTAGGATTAAACATGACCTGGTGTCGCCTGAGTGTGGCGAATGTTTCTTGGAGGTGTGTAAGATGGTCCGTCTGAAGTTTGGATTTTACTATGATGTCATCAATATACGCCTCCACATTCCTTCCAATTTGATTAATGAAGACTGTTTTAATCATTCGCTGAAAGGTAGCAGGCGCATTCTTCAAACCAAACGGCATCACAGTATATCAGAATAACTCCTGATCAGTGACGAATGTCGTCTTCTCTTGATCTTTCTTCCACAAGAGTATCTGTGAAAGCCTGAATAGGCGTCCATAAAGCTCATCAAGGCATGGCCGACTGTAGAGTCGACCAGATTGTTGATCTTTGGAAGGGGATAGTTATCCTTTGGACATGCCTTGTTAAAGTCCGTGTAACCTACACACATGCGCCAAGTACCATTCAGCTTTTTTACGAGTACAATATTAGCAACCCAATCAGGGAAGTAGAATTGCCGAATGAACTTAGCATATAACAGCTTTTTTACTTCGGCAGCTGTCGCCTGACTTCTTTCTTCACCATGGTTCCTCTTCTTTTGCCTTACCAGATTCTTTTTAGGATCCACAGGAAGTTTGTGAGCGGCTAGATCCGGGCTGATGCCTGGCATCTCGTCCACTTCAAAGGCAAAGATGTCTTTGAATTCTTTCAGTAGGTTGTGCAAGTCTGCACCCAATGTAGAAAAAGCAGCCGTCCCCACCTTAATAGTACGTTCTGGACGAGTGTCATTTAGAACAATATCAATGTGCTCACCAGCCGGCTGGGGACAGAGCTCATCCGGTCGTTCTCCGGTCAGTGATTGCTATTGCTTTTCTTTTTTCACGACCACCAATTGGCCGGCCTTTCTCTTTTTGCCGCCTGCTATGAGAGCAGGAATTGCTTCCTTGATTTTGTGAAGGTCTATAGTTTCTCCACTGGGGCCGGAGGCGAACACAGTGGGTTTGACGTCAGAGAGATAACACTCCCAAGCCGTCTTTTGGTCTCCCCTAAGGGAGCCCACTGTTCCATTATCCCTTTCAAACTTGAGAAGCATAAGAGAAGGGATGATAACAACTTTGGATTCATTTAGGGTAGGATGACCCAAAATCAGGTTATAGGCGATCAGCTCTTCAACAACTAAGAACCGGACCACCAAGTGGCGTCCCTCTCCCTTTTCTCCTAATCGAATGGGTAAGTCTATTCGACCTACCGGATGCACTACTCCCCCCCAAATCCCACTAAGGGATGAGAGACCTTGTGCATGCTCTCAGGCTTGTACTTGAGCTTGGTCAATCACTTGTGGCTGATGAGATCTGTGGAACTGCTGATGTCTATGAGGATTCGGCCAACCTTTTGGTTGGCCACTTTGCATTCGATGACAATGAGGTCATCATGCGGCCTCTTGACATTGCCCCTGTCTCTCTCAGAGATGAAAACATCAGGGAAAGTGTCTTTAAACGCCTGCCCCTCATCAACTAAGCTGACATCTAGCCCCCTAATGTAATCTTTGGTTCCCTGAATGGTAGGGCCGCCTCCAGCATAGCCACCTGCTATTGTATAGATCTGTTCTTCGTCATTATCATGACTATTAGCAGAGGGAGGCTTGTTCTTGGACGACTGCCTAGGGTTAGTTTGCAGGGTAACTTTGGATCTCAGAATTTATGACTTAAGTACCACTTTGTCAGCCAGGTGTTTCAACAGTCGCTTTAGGCTAAAGCAGTCGTTAGTGTCATGGCCAATATCCTCATGGAAATGACAGTATTTATTTTTGTTCCGATTTTTGGCGGAACCTTTCATAGCAGTCGGCTTCTCAATAGATACCCAGACTTTTATCTCCATGAGGATGGAGTAACAGTCTTTATTGAACTCGTACTTCAGGGAGTACGTTTTTGTTTCTGTCTTTTTATTCTGGGACGGCTGTTGAGAGGTATCAGCCAATCAAACTTCTTTTCTTTTCTTTTCATTCTTAGCCGGTTGTGATAACCGACTCTTTTTTTGTCATACTTCCTTGAGTCCGACTGTTTACTGATGTTGCAGAGCTCGGTCGCCCATATATAGGCGTCCGCCTCCATCAGTGCTTCTTGGAGGGTAGCAACCCTCTTCCTGACAAGGTCGAACTTGAAGGCCGACCCGTCTTTCAGACCTTTAAAAAAGTCTGTATAGGCAACCTCATCAGACAGTCCTTGAATCTGAATTTTCATCAAATGAACCGCCTGATGTATGACTGCAGCCCTTCTTTCTCTCCCTGCTAGGGGTGAAAGTTCGGTTTTCAGTTTGGTTTATAGGCCAAACCGAAACCGAACCACCCTAATTCGGGTTTTGGTTTTTGGAAACCAAACCGCACCACTTTACTTTTGAAACCAAACCAAACCAAACCATATAAATTTCGGTTTCAAAAGAAAAAACCGAACCAAACCGAATTTTTTTGGGCCTTGTTTATTTGGGCTTTAATCTGCAATTTTTGTGGGCTTAAATCATATAAATATTATATTCATCAACATATGTAGTAGCATAAATGCTTAATGAGATTTAAACAACATTAACAAGTTCTAAAACTTCAAAGTTATAATTCAAAGTTTTAAAAGTTCAACACTTCATCCAAAAAAAAAAATAAAATTGTTCAACATTACAAGTTTAACAATTGTTTAACAGCAGTAGCAACAAGCAGCATAGACCAAGTTCTAAAAGGCAGTAAAAAAATTGTTTAACAGCAGTAGCAACAAGCAGCAGGGCAGCAGCAGCATCATAACAGCAGGTCAGCAGCAAAAGCAGGTCAGCACTCAGCAGCATAGACGAAGGCAGTAGCAGTGATAGAGCAAGGCAGTAGCAAGTCTGGCAAGTGGCAACAACAAGTCAACAATGAGCAAAGAGCCACATCAGTCTATTATTTCAAGCACTTCATCAATATCAGCATCACCAACTGCCATATTCTTCAAGTCTATCATAATTCATAACAAAAATAACCAAGTTAAAATATATACACATAATGAAAATAACTTATGATTAGATGTTCTTATATATTACCCTCTTCAAGAAGCTCAACTTCCTCTAAACATTCTTCAATACTTGGAAATGGTGAAGCACGTAACCAATTTTGAGCACAAACAAGACCTTCTACAACTCGAGGAGTTAATGAGCTCCTAAACTGATCTAGAACCCTGCCCCCAGTGCTGAATGCACTCTCAGAAGCTACTGTCGAAACAGGGACAACAAGAACATCACGGGCAATTCTCCCCACAGTAGGAAACCTTGAACAATTGAACTTTCACCAGCTCAAAATGTCAAATTCATCAATATCCTCCGCTGTATCCTCCTCCAAATATTTGTCTTACTCTATTTTTGCATCTCCATCTCTCTCACACTTGTGTTTCTTATACTTACTCTTTAAGACTTCAATCTTTTTATGTTTGGGACTCAATGGAGTTTTGCCATCCTTACTTGAAGAAACTTCCTCCCTATTCACATCATTACCAGAAGAAACACGATACTCCTCATACAAAGCATTCAAAGCTACCTTCACATTATCAACTAACTTTGATGCAACAATAGGGTCATAAATTTCAGTTATCATCCACTCAACATAATCAAGCTTATAACGAGGATCAAGGACAACGACAATAAAAATCAGGAGGTTTATTTTTTCTGGATCACCCCAATACTTTTCATATTTTTCTTTCATTCTACAAGCCATAAGACACATATCCACATCATCACTTGAAACCAAATCTTTCATAAGTACAGCAACACTCACCAATTCATGAAAAAACAAATTCAAACTGACATATAAAGAGCCAGAGACATGCAAGGTCAGATCATAAAAGGCTTGTAGAAATTCAGAAAGTCTTCTTACATTATTCCAATCATCAGAATCTGGGCTACCCTTACCATCCCTCTCATTCAAATCAACTACATAGTGAGGGTCTTCCCCAGAATACCTCTCAAAAGCATCTTGAAGCTCAATAGCAGCATTCAACATCAAATAGGTGGAGTTCCACCTAATAGGCACATCAAGGCACAATCCCTTTTTTGTGTTGATTTTTTCATCTAAGACACATTTTTTAAACCTTTGCAACCTAGCAGGAGATTGTTTGATAAACCTAACAGCATGCCTAACACGTTGAACCGACTCATTAACAGTTTTCAACCCATCAGAAACAACCAAATTGACAATGTGTGCAACACAACGCATGTGAAGGAAACGACCCGTAAGAACCCCAGTTTTCCACCCATTTATTTTCCTTCTCATATACCCAATTGCAGTATCATTTGAGCTAGCATTATCAACTGTTATGCACATGACATTTTCAAGCCCCCAATCAAGCAAACACTTTTCAATTTCTTTGCCAATATCATCACCCTTATGACTAGCAATAGGACAAAAATTCAGAATTCTTTTGTGTAATTTCCAATTATTATCAATAAAGTGGACAGTCAAGCACATGTAATTGATTTGTTGTATAGAGGTCCATGTATCAGTAGTTAAAGAAACTCTTGAATTACACCTTTTTAACACATTTTTCAGCTTTCGATTTTCAGTTAATTATGTTTCAAAACAATCTTTGGCTACTGTAATTCGAGAAGGAACATTAAATCTAGGCTCTATTACACCACAAAAATGTCTAAAACCTATACCTTCAACAAACTTAAATGGAAGTTCATCAACAATCACCATAAATGACAAAGCTTTTCTAATACTACCAGCATCAAATTTGTGGTATGTCAACCCACTAGTACCACCACTTGGTTCTTTAGCACTTTTAAATGAAAGCAAAATTTGTTTTGAATCTTTAGGGGTGTTAAAGGGATACTTACGACATCGCGAAATATGAGCCCATAATACACTAGTGCCGTTTTTCTTTGCCCCACACTTGTAGCTCATCCCACAATACTTGCAAATTGCCTGCATTCCAAAAGGTAAGTCTTCTTTATCAAAGTGCTCCCAAACTTCAGAGCGTTCTTTCATCCTCTTCCTTTTTGCTCCCTGTTCTTTTTTCTGATTTTGAGAGACTTGGTCAGTCTCATGTTCGGATTGAGGCTGGTCAGGAACACCACCCACGTTGGTTGTCATTCAATAATTCGTGGTTGAATAACAATCTGTAAGAATACATGCAAACTCATAAATTAAGAATATTGGATCTTTTAAAGGGAATAATAGGTTGGGGTCGTTGTGCATTAGTCATGCAAACTGTTTTCTTGTTTATGAGGCTTGGTGCAAAACTTATTATGATATTATATTAACAATTGTTGTTAGATGAAATTAAGTTAATATTGGGTTTTGTTAGTTTTGTTACATATTTTTGAATTGTAGTTAATTTATTTTAGTAAGAATTACAATGAATTTATAGTCCTATAAAAAAGAAAAAGAGACTTACAGTACCAATAATAATAATTATACCCCTAATAAACAAAAGCAGTAGTAACTGGCTAACTGCACCAAAGACAATAACAATTTAGCAATAATAATTAGCCCCCTAAGATTCCACCCCACCACCCAAAAACAATCAAATTAAGCACTAACTGACTAACTGTACCCAAAACAAGTAAAATCAAAATTAACAATAATAACAAAGATCAATAATCTAATAAACACTTATCAAGACAATGATAATGCTATTAATCATGTGAACCCTTGAATTAATAACTAACTAATAATCTGAAACAATCTTCAACAGAGTCCAATCGAATAGAGCTTCAAAATACCAGAAAATTCAAAATGTTTTACTAGACCAAAACCCTAATCAGAATGTTTTACTAGACCAAAACCCAAAATACCCTTGAATAGACCAAAACCCCGAAGCATCAAAATACCAGAAAATTCAGAATGTTTTACTAATTTGTACAGAATAGAAAATTCAGAAACAACATCGGAATATGAACATCAAGCATAGATTAAAACCCTAATCAGAATGTTTAACAAATTTGTACATGTAATTTGCAGATTTTCGTAATTAACATTTAACACTAATCATAATTAAAACCCTAAAAAAATATAAACATCAAGCATAATCAAAACTTAAAAGCATACCTTTGGACGGTGGACGGTGTCACAGTGAACGCCTGAACGAGTGCCGGTGAACGATGGAGAGTGAGAATTCTGAGAAACACAAAAGAGATGATTGAGAAACTGAGAAAGTGAGGGTGAGAGACTGAGAAATTCGCAATGAGGGTAGGGTAAGAGGCGAGGAACTGAGGAAGTCAGGAGAGAGAATCAGAGAATGAGGGTTAGGGTTTTTTTTTCCTTATATACTTAGGGTAAATCTGGGCCTAAATTTCGGTTTTCGGTTTTTTTCGGTTTTCCATTTCCTCAAACCGAAACAAAACCGAAAACCGAAATATTTTTTTTTTAAAACCGAACCGAACCACTTCAAAAAAAAAACCGAACCATATTTCTTATTCGGTTCGGTTTTCGGTTCAGTTCGGTTTTAACCCGAATTTGTTTCACCCCTACTCCCTGCTATATAGCTCCCAAGTCAAGACTTATTTTCTTAGCAGGGATATTCACTAAGAAGTTAGACGCAAACAAGTATGCAAGCGTCCTTAAATTATTGAAGAATCTGGCTGGTAGGTTGCCGAACCATTGTTGGGCGACGCCCTTCAATGTGGCCGGGAAGCATCGACACCATGAGGCATCACCCAACCCTTGTAGATACATTAGGTTGGTGTATGCCATAAGGTCATCTTTTGGATTAGTGGTACCGTCATAGGTACCTACCAACACATTTTTCACCTAGGCCGGCTATGCGGCATCAGTTATTTCCTTGGAGAACGCAGAGGGTTGTTTTCTAAGTCTTAGCAATCGAAGCTACCAGTCCAAGGGTTGGACTTTGTGTGTCGCCTGCCCCTCGAAGAGGGTCGGCTGAATGTAAAGTTGTCCATACGGCATGTACGCTTGTTGAGGCGCATACGGGGCCGCATGGAGCATCTGAGGACTAGAGTGGGCGGACATGCCGCCTGTCTGGTTCTCTTGGTTTGATTGTGAATACCTCATTGAGGTATTCTAAAAGTTGTCTTGCAAGTTCGACCTTGAAGCCGACTCGGACAGTTGCATGTTCTTCTTCTGCTGGATTAACATCCGGCATCAGAATAAGTTTTCTTTGAACCATCAGGCTGTACATGTCGGATGACCTTCATCTTCCCCGGCTCAAGGAACCGAAGTTTGGCCAAATTTATCAAAGGCCTCTGTCCCTCCCTTGATTTAGGGTAAGGAGTGGCCTCTCGGTCTTTGACCGACTTATTGCTCCCAGAATGGGAGGGCTTTTTTGGCTGACTATTCCTTGGTGGAGACAGTCGTCCGTTTATCGATCAGGTCCTTAATTTCCCCTTTGAAACTTGTCATGAGGGTCATGAGCTCGTTTCTGGTGATGGGAACGAAGCCTTCGGCCGCCTGGGGTTGACCAGTTGAATGGCCGACTGGCTCACTAGGGCCCGCCTGTTCGTCATTCCGTTCCCTTCTTTCGATGGGACGGATGCGCTTAGTTCTTATGGACCCGTCAAGGGTCGTGTGTGTATTGACTTCATAGTCGTCATCTGTATCCTGGTCTGTATAGACCTGGCCGTCGGCCATAGGCCGTTTCTCATTAAGAGGCGGTACAGGTTCTTGCGAAGTCATCTTAGAAGTACTCTCCCCACAATCGGCGCCATGTTTTGGGGTTTTTTTAATGTCTTGCGGGAGAGTTACAACACCAAGACTGACCTCTGAACGCCTGTACCTGCAAAATAACGGAGACTCCTGTGCGTGGGAGTTCCGCCTCCAACGATCAAGTTTGAACTTGTTCGGATGTAAAAAGAGCGGAAAGTAAAAGGGATCAGGCTCCTCGTAGGAGAGAAGTGATCATCCGATTATCTGAGATAACCTCGAAATCTGAGCCTTAGCTATCAAGAAATGCAATTAAAGCTGGAGTTAATGCTCAGCAATTAATGTACACGTGTGTTTAATAATTTCTCAATAATGCTCCTTAGGGGGAACATCTCCATTTTATAGGTCTCGTAATGCGGGCCCAGTACTAGGTTTCGGAAACCTAGGACTGACTGGGCTTGCTTAGGTATTTGGGCCGTTAAAGGCCACTTTCCTAGTTGACGATCTGTCTGCCACGTGTCGTGACCTGATTGGTCCATCTTGGACCTCTCACGAGGTGACACGTGGCGAACTCTGGTTGGTCCACGTGGATGCCACGTGGCAGGATTTCATTGGACCACGTGGCAGAAAAAATCCCACAATCATAAAATGTTGAAGCACGGTTGTAAGATCTAACTAATCTTTATTATTGTTGTTATTATTATTGTTATTACTTATTATTATTATTATAATTATTGTTATTACTTATTATTATTGTTATTGTTATCGGTATAATTGTTGTTATTAATTATTATTATTGTTATTATTAAATTTGTTAATTATGGCATCACCAAACATGAACAACCCATCATCCTCTTGGAAAGCCAATATGTCTGTCGTAATAGTTCTAGGGAATCACCTAATCCAATGACCCCCCCCCCCCCCAATTCCGAGTTCGACCAATAATCCCGTAACCGCCCCCTAGGTTTTGAACAATTTAAGCATGGTGGTACTTCCGGTTTCAACCCTATAACATGAATATGCCCGGATTTCCATAAACCTAATTTCCACAAAACTAATTTCCACAATTCAGTCAATCCCACCTAATTTCTTTGACCCAAAAAATTTTTATACTAGCCAAGGTAACGAAGAAGATAGCTCATTTGCCTCCGAGTCTACTACTCAACAACAAACCCCCGAATCTACAAACACCCAAATCCGAAACACACAAGAGCAATGGTTAACCGAACAAGACATGGTAAATATTAAAAGCCGCAAAAGTGATGTATGGAGTTATTTTTTGCTAAATAAAGAACAAACAAGAGCAAAATGTAAAACATGTGCTAAAATATACTTGGCCACATCCAAGGCCGGGACGGGACACTTAAGTAGACACTTTAAAACATGTGCACAACCATCTAGTGATCCAACCCAGCTAAAACTTTCCCAATTCTATCCACACGGCTTTACCTACAACTATGAGAGGGATAGGGATGAACTAGGGAAAATGATAGTACACGCTAAACAACCTTTTCTTCTCTCTGAAAGTGACCCATTTAACACTTACATTAATAAAGCATTACAACCCCAACATAAAAGAATCTCTAGGAAAATCGTTCGTTCCGCCGCCATGAAAAACTTCCTAGAGTACAAAATGCGGTTACAAGACGAATTGAGTAAACTTAATTGTAGAGTGTCTTTGACTGCCGATTCTTGGGATAGTGGTTATAAATATCACTATTTATGTGTGACTTGCCATTAGGTAGATGATCAATGGTTGTTACAAAAACGAATAATCCATTTCAAAATGCTAGAATACCCCCCCATCGGTATTAACATTGCTCACCATTTAATGGAAGTTATAAATGAATACAACCTTAGAGAAA